GGAATAAATATCTAGGACTCTAGGAAGACTTTAGAAAGTACTTATCGGCCTGGAAGTGAATAGTTTGATGGACTGGAAAGAGCACTGGAGTGGAAGATGACCTATGACTTTAGCCTCTTTCATGTTCAAAGAATTATTCAGAGTCCTGTGTTGTCTTGTGAAAAGACTTTGTTTTGACTTTGGGTGATAAATCTTTGTAAGTCTATACTTTTGAATTAAATACCAGCTTTGTACAATATAATGATCTCAGTTATTGTTATTCACTTTGTAAAGGCATATGCTTCAAAGTTACTTATGTTTCCATAGTGGAAAATAAACAGCCAGAATCTAAAGAATAAAAATCATCATTTTAATTAAAATTAAAAGAAAATAAGAATAATTTTAAAAATAAATTTTAAAATCACCAATTCTGCTCAGAGCTGGTTCTATGAGGAGAGTGCTAAGAGTCCCAGAGAGCAAACACCTTGGGGAGCGTGGCAGGTAGATCTGCGGGACCCACCACCTCAGCTGACATGCTGTTACAACTGAAATTTAGCATACATCTAATGCACCAAAACAAGGGACTTCGGGCTTGGGTTTTGGTTTTTTGGTTTTTTGTTTTTGTTTTTTCATTAACTAGGTGGAGAAGAGGCTTTATTTCAGCCTGGGGGAAGAAACAAGGAAAAAATCCTACACTTCTCACAGACCTGAAAAGTGAATGGCTTGGGCCAAAAAAAAAAAAAAAAAAAAGGCTTGATTTCAATGCTCTACAGAAAATTTTGGAAGTGACAAATGTGTTTCAGACCTAAGCCCCACACTTTACTTAGTGTGCTTAGGTGAACATAAGACCTGAGAATCCTAACCCCTGTAGCACAGAGGCAGAGCTCTACACAAGTTGCCTGCAATGGCTGATGGGGACTGGCTTCAGAGGAAGAACAAAGATAAGGAACAGGTACCCTATTGCCCTATTGGTGGCAGTTTTCACAGCAGCATGGAAACGACAACTGGCAACCCTGAAGGCTGTGGATCTGGAGATGTGATTTATTTGGTTGGCACAGTGTTCAGGTATTTTTTTTGTAATGCTTAAGATTGATTCGCACTTGCCACAGTTCACCACTCTCCCCATTAGTCCTTGTTGTCTTAAAGAAGATGGTTTCACTTATTTACATCATCTCTCTGGGCCCCCAAGGCATTGAGTGGCAACCTCAAACAAGAGTTTTTGCCAAATGAAAAACAACAACAACTATACATCAAAGTTCCCAAGCATTCTTTCTTACTTTGAACCATATTTTATTAGGAACTTGTGTGTTTTGGGGTGAAAATGTCCTTTTGTAAATGTTTTTTCTTTTATGAAATGTACAAATAGATGGTGGTTAGTTTTACCTTTTTGGCTGTTTTGTTTTTCATTTTAAATGTCCTTGCTTGGCAAAATTAAAATTGGTGCTCCTATGTTGATCTCTATTTAAAGCAGATTAGTCTGGGAAATCTAAAAGATTGAGAAACACATGATTTAAAGAATATGAAAAATACAGTGAACCTTTTTTTTGGGGGGGAGGGGGACATTCTGTTTGTTTTAATGCTTCAAAATTCTGTCTTAGAGTTACTTCAGAAATTATTCCTCCATAGAACTTTCCCACATTAGGGCCAGCATAGCAGTTAAGAACATCAGACAAATTTGAGCTATAGTCTCCTCCTTGCCTCTTACTAATGGTGGGACCCTGAGCATGTTATTTAATTCAACTTAACCTCAGTTTTTTCCACAGGTACTATAAATAACAGGCTTAATATAAGGTACTTGTGTCAAGCTAATAATTTTCACCTTCACATTAATGTTTCTTATCTGTAAGGCAAGTTATTATGCTATACATTTAAAACTTTTTTTTTTTTTTTTTAAATGTGCAGGGCTTTGCTTGTGAGCAAGCAGATTTTACTTCAATCAAAGGGCTCTGGAAATTATGGCTTTCTTCAATGTGTCTTTAAATTTGAGCCAGTCTTTTTGTAGTAAAGGAATTTTTATGTTTAAAACACACTATATCATGCGTATTTATTTAAAATATTAATGTGTATCTCATCAATTTATTTGTATTAGCTGGGCGCTGTGTTTAGCCATGCGGTTTCTGCCCTTCATGCAGTGTTTGGCCCAGTGGCTGCATTGGCCAAGAGGTGCACCCCAGTCACAAGCTGTTTTAGAACAGAGAGGAAGGTCTTTTTTAAACTGAGTCCAAAAGTTTGGCAATGGCAAAAGGCACCCCTGGCATTAGTTACATAATACTGTGCTTGAAAGTAAACAAAACTACAATTCCTTACATAGTCTAATCAAGCTTTTTTCCAAGTGGGCTTATCTTCAGCATTCATCTGTGAACCTCTGTGGCCTCCAGTCACCTTTTGGGTCAGAAGGAGACTCCTGGAATATTGCTCCTCAAGGCCCTGAGCTGAATGCCTCCCTTCTCACCAGTCACCCTCTCCCATTTCTGCCTTTCTTTCTCAGACAGGCTACCTCCTCCCTATGCCCCCACTTCTGAGGCTTGTTCAAGTCTCGTTTTACCTTGAAGCTCTTCTAGAACAGAGCCTTCCCCACTTATTCACCCTTCAACCTTTACCAGGGAGCATTTACAGGTGAATTAATTGGCACACAATGAAAGAAAAACAGAAGCCAGCAATTGCCAACAATACAGACTAAATACTTTATTAGGTTCCAAATTGAGAAAATGGTAGTGTGAACCTATTTTAGTATAAATCCACCACCCTCCGCAAAGAGCCAGCCTTAGCATCCACAGCCCCCCAGTCATGGTAGCGCCTGTACTCCTGGGGCCTCAACAGGTACTGCCGCCCCCGGTAGTTGGGCAACTCGTAGAGGACCCAGCAGCCCTCCAGGACGTGGAAGGAGCGGACCTCACTCAGGTGAAAGCGGTCCTGGATGCAGGAGCAGTCCTCACTCAGCTCCATCATGAGGCCTTTGTGGTCCTCTCTCTCATACAGCCGCAGCCTGTGGGAGGCCGTCTGCTTGGTCCACAGAGAGAAGGAGCAGAAGAAACAACCAAACAACAGATGAACTTGGTGGGCTGGGGCATGGGATTGTCCATGTAATAACTAAGACTCTAAGATTGCTGTGAATGCTGTATATCGATCTGTGTCTTACTAGCATTTAACAAGTAGTTGCATGCTCATTTTCCATTTCTTATCTAGGACACAGATAATTTTTAAGAGGTTCAAAGTCTAGGTTAGAATGCATCAAGTACTCATCTTGTTTTCTAACTCCTAATTCTTTAATTCCTTAAGTGTTAACTCAAACTGATGTTTGGGGAAATGTAAAATATTTGACTAATATTCTTTCAATATGAGTATTATCTCCTAAATTTATCTATATAAAAATTTACCACTAAAGTAGGATTTTGAAAATCACATCCTTCAGCGAACATTAGTTTAAATAGTCACTCGGAGCCAGAATTCAATTGATTTTCTAAATTAAAGACAACTACCTTTTCCAAAGTTAAATATTACCTTTGGGTAGCTTATATTAACAATAGAATTTTCACTTTTTGCTACTCTGTAGTGGAACTTATCTAATTTGTTCATTGTCAATTTCTTTACTATAGGTAAAAATTAATTTGTTAGAAATACTGCTTTCTTAACGCTCAACCAGCCTCCCATTTGCAAGTTCTGTTTTATAATCCACTACGATATCATATGTGTTACAACCTTCCATTGATCTAATGGTAGCAAAACTTGAAAATAAAACTC